TGATCTCCCCGTTCACTTCGGAGCATAACCCCCAACCTCGAGTTTCCCCATTATACTATTTGCTTCAATCCAACTTCTTTTCGCTCCTTATGTTCTGAACCCTATAATATTAAACCCTTCAAACGGACTAGCAGACAGCGGCCTGCCCATCTATGGGATCCATCCGATTGCGACACTGTCTGGATTGATAACACTACATCATGGGCAGCAAAAAGGACCAGCCCGATGCTGGACTGAAGAGTCTAAATCACTGTATGCGAGTGGTTCCTTTTTTTGCCCACCCGTGGCTTATCGCGACATCCTCTAACCGTCATGCGTTTGCGACATAGATTCAAATCGATTACCCGTCTGGCGGTACTGGCCACGACAAAAGCTCATCCCATTGATCCGATATGAGACGCCATATTTGGCTTGGGTGCAGGAGAAAGTCCGTACGCCAACCCTCGACTCGTATTTCGCATTCACAGCCAACCTCGGCACCCATACCTTCTTCATGGTCTTCTTACCCTTCCTCTTCTGGTGTGGTTCTCCCAGTGTGGGTCGCGGGTACGTTTTATTTCTGGAATTGAAATCACAGGTGGAATTCCGTAGCTGACGACGGTTATCTATAGATTGGTACACATCTTAGCATCGGGCGTCTTTTGGAGCGGCTTCCTCAAGGACCTGCTATGTCTTCCTCGGCCTCTCTCTCCCCCACTCCAGCGAATCACCATGTCCGGCTCTGCGGCACTAGAATATGGGTTCCCTTCGACACACTCAACCAATGCTGTCTCGGTTGCGGTCTATGCTTTGGCCCTGCTTGGTTCACCCGAATCAACTCTCAGCGCGCAGGTCACCCTCTTACTCCAAGCTATCACCTATATCTACGTCGTGTCCATTGTATTGGGTCGACTGTATTGCGGAATGCATGGAATGCTGGACTGTACTATTGGGTGTGCTATGGGTGCGGCCATCGGCCTCGTACAATTTTATTATGGGCCTGCCTTTGAGGAATTCATTTTATCCGCTTCGTTGATGGAAATCTCCCTGCTGGGGCTTCTTATTATATTCCTCGTCCGCGTCCATCCAGAGCCGGCGGATGATTGCCCGTGCTTCGACGATAGTGTTGCATTCGCAGGAGTTATGCTAGGCGTGGATTTGTCTTCATGGCACTTCGCCGATATCTGGATCGGTTATCCTTCTGGATCAATTCCCTACAACCTCGAGACCGTGGGCTGGATTAAGACTGTTGTTCGTCTGGTCGTGGGCGTTTTGTGCGTGTTTGCTTGGAGAACTGTAACCAAGCCCGCTCTGTTGCGTATTCTACCACCTATCTTCCGGACCCTGGAGAAGCTCGGTCTTTTGCTTCCTCGACGTTTCTTCACCACCGCATCGTAAGTTTGAATGTGCTTCCTGCTTATGGACGTTATGCTAATATGTTCTTAGTGAATACACTACCATTCCCTATAACCTGAAGGATCACGACGTTCTTCCGAATTTCTCTGATATCCCAGACATCATTACCACAATGCGCCATCCTCGCCGCCGAGCCATTTCAATTGGTCCTCAGTCAGAAGCTGATGCGTATGAGACCCTGGCGTACCGGGAAAAGCGTCGACGCGAGAGTCAGTCTGGGAGCAATCGTCCTTCCCCAGTCGCAGAAGATCAAATCAAGCGCAATGGAACGCCCATGCGGCCGAGAAAGACGGCATCACTGGACGATTACGAAGACATGATGGGCAGAGGCAGTCCTATTTCATCCGCAGTGGATGTGAATTCTGACATGTCGACCACACCTTTCCCTTCGATAGAGTTTGAGGCTGGGGAGAGGGAGGAAAAAGAGGTGTTCTCCCAGATCAAGAAGCCCCGTGTGCGGTATGACGTGGAGGTAATAACAAAATTGGTTGTATATGCGGGTATGTGAAACCCCTAGATTTTGACACAACATTTGCTGATACCAGGCTCCTTTAGGTATTCCATGGGTGGTGATCGAAGTCGCACCCTTGCTATTCGACCTAATCGGACTTGGAAACCGATAACCAGGACGAGAAACGTATTCCTAGGAGTGCAATTCGCCTTGCAGTCCCTCGCTTCTTAGCTCCACCACCTCCTCGGCCTGCTCCTAGCTCAGCGGGCTGTGCTAGAACAAGTCACCTTCGAAATATCCTTCACGCTGCCCATGTACATAAACATTGAAAACAATATCCATAGTTGCATTCTTCGGTCTGGTCAGACATCCTTCTCAAACACAGGTTGGGACCAGCAACATCATGACATTGAAGACAACAAAAGAAACAAGAACAAAGAACGATCAAGTAAAGATGTCCAATCGCAACTCTCTTTTTGAGGTTGTCGAATCGTGGTGGCTGTTTATAGAGTCTGCCACAAGACAATTATTAGATGAAACACCAAACGACATGAGATCGGAGTAAAAGAAAATTACATCTCACAGAAGTTTAAGAATAACATTCAAAGAAACTATCAAGAAATAACAAAAAAGATAGATCAACAAAGAGTGACAATGAGATGAGTAGGTCAACGCAACAACAATGAAGGCTGGGGGAATATGTGATGAGTCAGCAGAATGATGAAAGAACCGCGTCGGCTCATATTATTCCCATACCTCTTCCATTGCGGAGTATCTACCTTCGATTCTGGCTTCTGGCTTCGGGGTACATATTCCAGTCATGCCCAATGATGGATCTTGAAGTCTTGTCTTCATCTACCCGCTCATTCCTCCCTTTTCACACCCTCAACGTTCATTCAACCACCGTCAATCTATTTTGAAAGCGCGTCATCGGACGAGTAGATCGCTCTCGAATTTCTTGCTCCCACTCTTTCGACGTGACTTTCTATTCGCATCAACATGGGGTTCTTCCGCTGGCCTCGGTGCAAGCGAAGCGCCTCTCATGCGAAGCCCACGGAGTCCTCACCCAAGATTCCCATTCCCTTTGAGCCCTCAAAACCTCCGTTTGACGCCCCCGATGGTATGACAGCCCCTCCTTGGAAGTTCAAGTCACATATACTAAAATACAGCCCATTGTTAGATAATTCCCAGTTGCCCATCCCAGGAGCCTTCCCGTTAACTCCTCCGGAATCACCCACCCTTGTTGTATCACAAGGCCCGACTATCGAGGAAGATGTCCCACCGAAGGGATGGGAATTCATGGACATAGATACTCGCACAACACCAGCGCTTGTTACGGATCTCGGCACACATCTCCACCCTCGATTACCGCCATATACCCCTCCCCTTCCAAGCGTTAGGCGCATTCCATCGCCGAAACCAACGAAAGCCCCCAAGCCCGTCGAGGATGATCTCATGGAGATTGATGACCCGTGGGATCAACAAGCTCAACTAGATGCAAGGATTCCCCACGGCCCCGTTTCCGCTGTACAGTTGTTTCGCGCCAACAGGCAGCCGATTCCTGCCAATCGCATTGCGTCGTGGTACGAGGCAGAATTCGAGAAGCGGGAGAGAGAAAGATTAGCCCGGGAGCGCGACCTCCAACGTCCAACCAGAGTGGTCCCGCCGGGTTACCCCGTACGTCTGATTTCGCCCGAGTGGCTTGCCAAGCTTCAACGGGCCATGCAGAGTGGACAAGGGAATTCCGTTGCCACGTCATTAGCCGGAGACGATCTGTACCAGCGCGATATCGTCACATGTATTCGCCCTGAGGCCTGGCTTAATGACGAAATCATCAATGCCTACCTTGGTTTACTCGTTCATTACCTCCGTCAATCGCATGGGAATCTCGGACCTAGCGATCGGCCACTCTTCCACGCCTTCAACACATTTTTCTACTCTACCCTTCGCGATAAGGGATACCAGGGCGTGCAACGTTGGGCAAAGCGGGCTAAAATCGGTGGCGAAGGACTCCTCAATGTCGATACAGTCTTCATCCCTGTGCATGAGTCAAGCCATTGGACACTCATGGTTATTCGACCGGCAGAACGAACAATCGAGTACTTTGACTCCCTAGGATCCCACGGTCCTCGCCAAGTGAAGAATGTCAAGCAATGGCTTCGTGGGGAACTCGGGCCAAAATATAACGAAAAGGAATGGACTGTCCTGCCGTCGGTCTCTTCTCGGCAAGACAACGGGAGCGATTGTGGTGTCTTCCTCCTAACAAATGCCAAAGCAATTACTATTGGGGTTGAACCAACCGCCATTGGCCCAAGCCATATCACACTTCTCCGCAGAAAGATTGTTGCGGAGCTCATGAACGGTGGTCTTCACGGCGAATTCAATCCACAGGACAAAGCAACAGGTTCAGTGTTTCTCTAAACACAAAGACCAGTTATCTATCCCTACAGAAGTCTCATCTTTTCATCTCGATCTCATACATTCAATTTGGGGTCTTTTTCACCCTCCCCTCCTACATAATCTCACATACTTCATACCTCATCCATCCCCAACCCACAATTATCCATATCAAGCACCATCACCAAGGCGTTCTCGGTTACCATTACACATTATCTGCTATTTCGGCGCACAAGGCGAACACACGGAAAAGATGAAAAAAAAGGCCAATGATTTTTTTGGGCGGGCTCTTTCTATGTGATGTTTGCAATGAATCTGAATGATACCCCACAGTCACCACCATTATGGTGACTCAGTTGATACAAAGGAGTCCTTTCTTGCGGACTGATTTTATCATATTTCTTTGTTTTCCTCGTTCTCCTGCTTTGATTTAATTCTGTTTTATCTTACATAGCATTAACTTTGCCATGTGTAGAGTCATGTATTTCTATTGTGTTGGCTCTTTCATCTGACTTTAGGACTATAAGTAAGTAATAGTTGTTAATATCGTCGTAGCTAGAGGAGATTAATCTGTAGACGCAATACTAATAAATCCAGTAAAGATGGAATCAGTGAACATGTGTGTATTCTCTTTGATAAAAATACAGGCTGTCTAAAAAGTAGAGTACAGAACACTCATGCCAGCCAAAGCCAAAAATCCTAAACAAAAAAACGAAGGACCGAAAGTGATAATAATACAAAAACTGCCGGAAAAGCCTTAAAACTCATCAATGTTGCAGGGTCTCTGACAAGATTCACGAAGAGGCCTGTTCCGCCACTTCTTTCTTCTGCACTCACGGCCCTGCCTACCTGGCTTACACATTTCGTGCCTGTGCTTCCTATCTGGCTCGAATGGATATCCATTGGCAATAGAACCATTCGTCAGAGGGGGCATTTGATGGCCGGTATGGTTCTGTGAAGGAGACACATGATGTCCCATGAGAGAATCGGAGGTACGGTTGTAGAGCAGCTCAATGTATTCGATGCCGAAGTATATACTGTCGCCGATTCTCATGTCGCCCGTCCACAGTCCACCGTCGCTCCAAAGATTAAGAATAATCATGCTCTCCAGGTCAGGAACCCCGTACGTTTTGGCATCTTGCATCTCATTGTCGACATACCACCGAGACATGTCCGAGAGCCAGTCCAGGCGATGCGTTGACCATGTTGTCCATGGAACAGGTAAATCGGCAATGGTACTGGCACCGGGGATCTCATGATCAGCGGTAAAATTATAATCGGGCTGATTGGCATAGTGCACGCGATGGGCCGGGTCCCGTGTCAAGATCTCAATGTCCGATTCACAGTTTTGGTCATGGTAGGTGAAGATTCCGGCACAAGCGCCGTCAGGTGGTTTGTCATCACGGAGAGGTGGAATCGTCTTGTTCAAGGGCGCTGTGGGATGTTGTTTTGGATCCCGCGACGGCCATTCTTTAAGCTGAGGAGGAGGTTCTGATACGGCGGAGCCAGCTGGCAATAGACGTAGCCGGACACGCACCGAGCACCGATAGATGTTGCGTATGCGAGTCTCGATCTCCGCGGTGGAAGTGTATTCTGAAAAGCGGGTGGTACGCAGAACAAGATACGTCGCGTAATAATTTCGCTCGTAATCCCGGGTGAGAAAGACGTTGTGCTTCGAATTTACCATGGGCACCGGGGCTATTGCGGTGCCTGGGCGTTCCCAGTTCTGACTGCTCCAGTCTCTCTCGAATGAGGTTTTGTAGAATACCAGTGATCTAGGGTCCGTGTCCTTTTCTTCAAGGACTCCAGGTGAGAGATGACCATATTGCAGGTCTTCGTCGTAGCCATGATCGTCATCATCCCAGTCTTCGTCGCCATAATCAATGGGCTCCGACAGATTGAGACTGGCATGCTTCTTCAAATCCACTGCCCGAAAGTCCCAGAGCTTGTAGTGCCGGAAGTATCCTGGATCGGGCCCTGAGATTGTGTAGCAATCGCATCCATGTGGATGTTTCTTGGCCGGTGGCGGCGGCGGTGCTGCTCCAGGAGCTGATGATGTTGATGCTACCGTGCAGAAAAAGATCACGGCGACCCCAAAGGACAAAATGTTGATTTTCATGGTGACTGAGTAACAACCTTGGAGAATGTAAGATTCCCAAGATGGTCCCGGGTGAAGTGAAGAACGAAGAACGAAGAAGGTCTTTGTTTGACTGAACAGGAAGCCGCGCTGGTCGTGATTTCCTCTTTAGGTCGAGATATCAAAATCAACAAAACTCTCTGTGGTTTTTCAGTAAATACGCCAGTACCTAAGCCTCTGATGTTTCTTCCGAGTGAAATGACTCTTTGTACAATTGACTGACAATTAGCTGTCCTTAGGTATCGTACATTGTCCAGTGAGTGTGCCAGATTGGCTAACATCCTCTAGGATCTCTCTCTCTCTCTCTCTCTCGCTCTCTTCGTATCAAAAGCATTCATACCGCTGGTCCAGTCTCCGGGACTAGTTCAAATAGGTCTTTCTTCAATACCTCCAATACCAGGTTCTCGTCGACATCTTGAAGATTCACCGAAGAACCGGGAAGCGCTTCTTTTCCAGCCGCGTCATCATCGTCACTCGTGGTAGAAGACTGGCCTATCTCATCTGGCTCAGAGGTGCGAAGATAGTCTTCCTCCAGTATGAATTTGGAGTTATCTTTGTCTGCAAAGAGTGTCTCCGCTGACTCTGGTAGTGCATAAATCGTAGGGAATTCTAAGACAGTCCGATTGCGCAGAACAGTATTGAGCGTTGAGGTTTGCAAGAGAGGAGTTAAGACTGGCTTTTTGGTTGTGGTTCGCGGACGGTGAAGGTAGAAGTAAAGACCGCGGTGGGGGGCGATGGTCTGATTTGGTGCTTTATCCATTTGCTCAGTTGAGGCGTCTGCTGGTTCCTTTGCTGAGTCTTCGGTCGTGCATGGGGGTGATTTTGTATCTGCCTCTTCGGCCACTGTCGTGACAGGGTCACCGGGTGCAGCAGTAGTCGTATTAGGGGTATCCAAATCTTCTTTCTTCTCTTCTTTAGCTGTATCTTGATCCCTCGAGCGTGGGCAGCATCGGTTATAGGCTTCAGCGACAGAGCATGTATCAATGACAGAATCACGAATGGTCTTCACCCCATCAGCCGTAATCCACTCTATGGTCCAAGCAAGACGCCTATGCCTTGAGAAACACCTAAGTCAGTACAACGTCCGACTCAAAAGACACGAGAGATTCCCAACTCACCTAGGATGCATACGCGACCCATTCTGCTTATTTCTCGACATTCCCTTCGGAGCTCGAAGAACTTTCACAGCAGCAGTCTCGGTGCCGCGCAAGAACGCAGCCTCGCCCTTGGCAAGGCCCTGGTTCGGGTGCTTCCTTTTACGGCCGGCAGCCAGATGCTGTAAACCTTCGGAACTACCATCGTCTGCCTGAGCACCGCCCGCAAGATCAATCCCGCGGTTATCGACTTCTCTCTCCGCGCGCTCGAGGGTGCGCTCGATGCCGGTGATGAAATTAAAGTCGCGATCGAACGCAGATTCAGTGCTCAGTTCATTGCGCTTTAGATATGCGGCAGGATCGCGCACACCGGAGCATTGCGACCAGATTTTATGGCGACGTGTGCAGGGTAGAGAGCAAGTGCGTGTTGAGCAGCGTGGACAGCGGTATTTGGGAGGATTGGCATGGCTGTAAGGACACGGGGTTAGATTCTAAGAGTATACCGGAGTGATTAATTATTCGTGCGCATACCATATTGAGCAGAGATCACTCAGCAATGGATCGGAGTCGGCCATATTGATTTGACTGCTTGTTGCGGAGTTGGAGAGTTGGAGAGTCGGAGATTCGATGGGAAATTTATTTGTCTTATCGATAAGGGCCTAAGGCAGAGATATAGAACTACCTACAACAATCACATTTCATTAACTAACAAGTTAACAACTCGAGTTCCCCAAGGCTAAACCTCGGAATAAAGCCATAAACAGGATTATTCATCTAACAATGGTCTAATTTTCACCTCGATGTTATCTTCTGCGGGGATACACCAGTCCCGTTCTCTGCAGATGATATCATCTGCGGATGTGATGATCAATCCATCCCCGCTGCATTTCTAAGCTTCGGTGATATCTTCCGGACTGCCATTATTTAGTTGCTTAGATTCCCTTGTTTTTCCCAGACTTACAACAGAATATATTCATATACTTCCCAAATCAAATATGGCTTCCAAGGCACTTGCAATCATTGCTGGCGTTGGCCCCGGCACGGTACGGGTCTATATCTTATCTGACTCCATATAAGGCAGGATTGACTGACGAAAGAACAGGGCGCCTCAATCGCCAGGAAATTTGCAAAGACTTACTCTGTCGTAGTGCTGGCTCGAAATCCAGACAACTACAACCCAGTTGTTCAAGAAATTAATTCCAGCGGCGGCCAGGCTATCGGCATCAGCACCGATGTCTCCGACTCAAAGAGCGTCAATGCTGCATTTGAAAAGATTCAAGCAGAGCATCCTTCCTCCAAGGTAGCTGCTGCTGTTTTCAATCCAGGTGGCGGTTTTGTGGTCAAGCCATTCCTCGAGCTGAAGGAAGAAGATTACTCGAATGCACTCAAGTCACAGGCGTATGTTTCTTGTACCCACCAACTCCACTTCATTCCAAGCTTAATATAGTTCACATCGTTCTTAATGATTTTGCTAAATTGCTAACTCCCATATCAGACAGGGCGCCTTCAGCTTCGCCCAACGGGCTATTCCGCTGCTCCTAGAAGCTCGCGAATCGTCGGAGTATCCACCCACTCTGATCTTCACGGGAGCTACCGCTAGTCTTAAGGGTTCAGCTAAGTTTGCTGCTTTTGCTTCAAGCAAGTTCGCACTGCGTGCGTTGGCACAGTCACTTGCTCGTGAGTTTGGGCCGCAGGGTTTGCATGTCTCACACACTATTATCGATGGTGTCATTGATATCCCTCGTACCAAGGCTTGGGTATTTGAGCATGAAGATGCGAAATTAAGCCCTGACGCTGTAAGTTTTGCTCTATTGGTTGGCTTTATTTCGGACACTCACTGGCTATAGATTGCGGACTCATATTGGTATTTGCATACTCAGCCACGCACGACTTTTGCGTTTGAGTTGGACTTGCGGCCTTATATTGAGAAGTGGTAGAGGGCTTCTCGGGGTCTTTCTGTCTCACGAGGCAGAACGAAGATAGTAAGAATGCATTATCGCATATATGTATTTAATGAGATTGTTTTGTATTAACGACTGAGATGGAACTTAAATTAAACTTGAAATTATATACAGCTTTTCTACCTGATTTGGAATATATCTCTTTGTGGGCGTGCTTGAGTTGTAGTATAACCCCGAACTACTAAACCAACCTATTGATATATAGCAACATCAGTATAATGCCTAGCAAAGACAAACTAGAATTGATTACGCGTCGTATCTAGTCTAGATCTTACATATATTACTAGTAGGCAAGTAGGATTGGCTCTTCCTAGTGGAAGGTAGAGAGTATTGGACATCCATGGGACAATTTCACACCTGGGCGCATTTTAGAGCCCCATTCTACTTTATGTTATACTTCTTCGGCATTCACCGATCCTCTTGATTATAGACCGGCTGCAACATAGTTGCGGCCTGTATAATACCCTGTCATCTGCCGACACCTTTCATATTTTGAGCTATGAGTTTAGATATCAAAGAAGCAGAGAATGTGCGGATAAAGGGCTCACTATCTAGTAATTAGGTCGTTCCTATCAGGTAGCGTACTATACTACATATATACATATGTATAAGTGTAGGTATACTACCATGCTTTTGATAGATTCATCTTAGATCAATGAGCATGGGGATGTACATTCACATATCTACAAGCATCGCCGGAAATATCTAGAAAAGGACGCGGTCTACAAACTTAATGATTCGATGTAGTTATAGTATACAATCCCTTCACATCGTCCTCAGTTCTCAGTTTGTTCTCAGCACTTTGTTCTCAGTTTGTTTTCACTTTATTCTCAGTTTGTTCTCAGTTTGTTCTCACTTTATCCTCACTTTATTCTCACTTTACTGCCATTCAATTATTCTAATTTTCATTCCTTACATATGCGCTATGTCCACTGTTTCCGGGGTCTCTGGCGGGCTATTCGCCGCTTCCTTGCAAACCAGATTGACGCCCAAGAGATGACAGGAAGCCTGGAGCTTCCCCAAAGGCCCGAGCCTCTCGCAGTGACCTCACTGAGTCTGCCAGAAATCCAGAAGATCCTTGGTCTCACTATGGTTGTGGATAGAGAGTTCGACTCTGTTATGCCTATACCCGTCCCGCAAGATCTCAGTATGTTAACCCGATGAATCAATCGTACAAACAAGTCAGCTAACCTTAGCTAGAATTCTGGTTGGAAAAAGCGGACCGCGTTCATAGCGCTCATGCCGCTATCTGCGCAAACGAAGCGAGGATCCGCTACAAGCTTAACCTCCTCCTTGTCTACGCTCACGATCTAGTAATGTCGTCTTCAAATGGATCTATGAGACCCTTGAACATTCAGATGGAGCGTATGTGGGAGTATAGCTCCATAAAATGGGAGGGGAAGAAACGGACGCTATTGGGGCACCCCGACTATGGCATCTGGTATGGAGAGAAGGAAGACCTTGACTTGAACGTTGTTATCATGGGGGTCAAGAGACTAAATGGTGGTGGCGAAGGGATTCCGCAGGCGCTCGCATATATGGGTAAGTACCTCACGATATCGCCGTTATAACGCACTCCTAGACTGACCCGTCAAAAGGGTGCGTTCATAAGCAGCGTAAAGACCTTGGCAAAACAGACACCACTGTCTACGGCATCTCTGCCGATACTATGAATTTCACGTTCATAAAGCTCGACAATAAGTCTCGGGTAAGTATATCTAAATCGTGTCAGTGATCCTGGTTCTAATGTTTACTAGTGGTCTTTCAAGCTAGTCGGCGTCGTCGGAAATGGGTTCGAACAAGTGCTTGGTCTACTGGTCTATATGATGAAGAAAGCGACTTCGATGTCACCCGCTACCTCCAAACGCACGTCTCACCAGACACGACGAGGATCAGGGGAGTCTGGTCTGAGCTTCGACTATAACCCTGAGATGGATGAGATGGATGTTGAATGATTTCGTCGCCGCATTCATCCTCTGACCTTGTTCCTTGCGTCTTCTTCCTCTTCTTCGCTAGTCGTTCTTCTCTCGCTGTCTTGATACCCTTCTTGTTCTCCTTTCCTGCTTTGTTGCGCCTTCCACTTCTTGCTTTTCTTATTTTTGCCCGTGCCCTGTTGCTAGTATTGCTTGATCAAAATACAAGTCTATTTTTCCAAACCATACACCACCGCATCTAGATTCAGCAAAAGGCCTGACATCGATCTCAACAGCATAGACAATACTACGGTTGCTGAACTTCTAAGTAGACTGTAACTTAACTCCTTCAACTCAATATCAATCTCACATTGCACCATACACGACGTGGACCACGACATCACTACGTAGTCCTCTCCCCTGACAGGTTATGAGCTCCTGAAAGATCTACCTTTCTCATCATAGTCAGCTTCATCCTACATCGGCCCCTTCATCGGCCCCTCATCGACGCCGCCATCCTCACTATCGCCATCCTCGGCATCACTATCGTCTCCTCACTCTCGCCGGCAAATCTAACTTCGCATCGTGGCCTACCGCACTCAATTGCGCCCTCGATTAGTAGAATTATACTGGCCAAGGCAGTAGAACTGATAGTTAAAATTATATAGAAAGCCTATCCCCATGGATTTGGTAGCCAACAGACTTGACGTTGGAGGTAGTAATGTCGGATGGATAAGGTCTTATGCAAATGCTGAGTCATCACGTAACGTCACCGTCTGGGGTGATTCCAGAAAACGGCACAGCCAAGCTCACCCGAGCTCTCACCTTATCACCTCAACTTTCCTCAACAATCGCCCTACTCACCATGAGCTCCGACAACGCCTCGCCGCAGGCAGGACAGCCGGACAATTCCTCAAACGACTCCTCCCGAGCCCTCCCTGGCCATAACCCTGCGATCGCGAAATATAACAAGGTCAAGCTTCGACCAGAGTCAATTGTGAAGCCTGATCTTTTCACATTGTACTTTGGATTTCTCGGCACAACAACCTGGACAAAAAGTGTCGCGTACACAGTGAACGAGCGAGTGGAGAACCACTACGTGCTGACCGCACGACCCCCGACTCAAGATGAATTCGATGCAATTGTTGAGCACGGAACGAAACGCCTGTACCACGGACGGATGGGCTTACCAATCAGCTCATTCCTCGGAACAGCATTGCTCTACCGCCAAGCACGCAAGTCACCAATGTTCCCACGCGATCCCACGCCAGCCGCATTGTTCAGTACGCTGCGCACCATGTGGCTCGATCCTACCCTCCGAGCCAACTTGGGAAAAGCGGCATTCAGAATGACCTTCATCGTGACTCTCGGCGTCATGGCATCGAACGCTTATGCCGTTTCCAGAGATGCTATGCAGACCTTGACGGACCCGCGATTGAAATTGTTTATCGAGGACTTGCGCAAGGCGAACCCAGAGGACGTGCGGAAGCGCAAGATCCAGGCTGCTAATGAGCGTCGTCGCAGCATCCGCAGTGGTGAGCAGGATTTCGGATCCCGGATCATGGGATCGTCTAGTGGATATGCCGGCGGCGAGGAGTACCAACAGGAGCAGGCGTCTGATTCTTCTCCGCAACCAAATTCTTACTCTGAATACGTGAACTCAAATGATACCACGGGGAACTCTCAGTCTGCTTCGTATGAGTCGTCTACGTCGGGTTTGAATGCTGGTGCGGTATGGGCACGCGGTAGGAGTACTCAACCCGAGTCAAAATCGGCTTTGGACATCATGGATGAGGACGATGCTAGCCCCACAGCTGCGGAGTACCGGAATACCAACATTGATGGGTCTGGTAGTGCTTGGGACCGGATTAGACGACAGAATGCCGCAGCACGCCAGCCTCGACAGCAACCTGGCATGTCACAATCTTCACCGAACCATTACTCTTCATCTGCTGAGTTTGGTCAGACTGACCAAGAGAAGCATGCCTCGAGTCAGAAGACCGAGAGGGATATAGCACAGGCAGAGTTTGATCGCATGATTGAGGCGGAGAGGAACACTGGTAGTGAAGGATCACCTCGAAACCGAGGTTGGGGATCTTGAGCATCTCTCTGACCTTTTGTCTATTTATCTTCGCATGTACAATTATGTCATTTCCAGCCTTTGATCATCTATCTCCATATCAAGACATCTTCAACTAAGAAACAACTTATACCGTTATCATTAAGCCTTTGCAGGCATATATGTTTAGCTATGGTGACCCCTGACCAAGAGAGTATGAACCAATGGAAACGAGGTTTTTAAAGACATCGCTGTCTGCAATCTTGAAAAGGAAAATATCAGAATCAGAGACTAGGAAATTGTGCATTCAATCAACCATATGATTAAGGCTGATGACAGGATATGGTATTTGGAATATAACTTAGGGCATATAAGTCGGAAAACATCAAACAAGCAGAACGAGAGAGGGTATGAGCCCTTAAACAGGGGTAATATCAAATGGAAGCAAGCGATGGGCAGTAAAAAAACATGATGCGTGATGCGTTGAAATCCAGGACATTGCAATTTCATGATAAAAACAAGAACAATCAACAAAAGGGGCTCATGATGCAAAAAGAGGGGAGAGAAGAAGAATAAAATAAACCAGCAAAAGATATATAAAAAAAACGACACCTCGTTGTTGTTGTCAACCAGTTAAGCCCTAACATAACGGGGGGGCTTAAACATAGTTCGGGCCCGGGGCAACATAGCTCTGACTCGGTAGAATATAGTTCGAGTTCGACCCAGCAACATGCGGGTTCAGAGTCTCATAGGGAGCCATCTCCGCTTCATGAGCCTGCGCCCAAGGCTCGACACTGCGACTGCTGTTGCGCATACGAGTCAAGCTGCGCAGCTTGTTCGTCAAGCTCTCGTTTGAGCTACGGTTTCGGCGATGGTCAAAGGACATACGCTGACCACCCGACTGACGGGAATCCATCCCGTGGCCGCTTGAATTGAGAGCCGGGGCGGCAGTCATGGCGCGAGGGAGGAGACGGCCGAGGTCTTCGTTGTTGTCGATGGCGATATCGATTGTCGCGGAGGACTCGCGGGGCGAGACCGGCGTCGCGGAGAATGGGAATGGAAATGGGGGTGGTGGAGGTGGAGTGTTGAGATGCTGCAGTTCTGGGAGGATGGGTGGCGGTGGTGGAGGGGGAATTGTCTCGTACTGCGATGAGGGTTCGCTCTGCATTGCATTCTCGATTGTCTCTTCGATGCTCACTTGAACGTGGGGGGAGGTACTGGAGACGTAGCTGCCTGAACTGGTGCGGTTATGGCCCTTCGCGCGGCTGCGGCTACTGGACCGGCTCCGGGGGAGGGCTGGGTTAAACCGGGGATGCATGGGGAGGTCGTTGGGCATGGAAGGGGCGTTGTACTGTCCTTCTGGTACAGGGACAGACATCGATCGTCCGATTCTCTCGGCATCTCCTTGATACCGGGCATTGCTGAGGAACATACTGTTATCTGTGGGGATTATGGGCACAGAAGGAGGTCGCTCTTCGTCTTGTCCAGTTCCTCCGTACTTGGGATGTCGCATAGCCCGAGGAGTTGCCGGAAGCCCACTAGGCATTCCGGAACGTGAAGAATTTGAGTCGGAACTGCTGGGATAGTCGATAGACACTTTGTTTTGGGACATCTTGTTCCGCGATGGAGCCCGTTGGAAGTATGAACTTGTACCAGAGAAAGGCGGGGAAGCCTCAAGGGGACTTCTTGCGCTCTGCAGCTCGCCCGGGAAGGGGATGTTTGGTGCTGATGGGTTGCGAGCGAGTGATAATCTTCGTGCCTCCAATTCAGCAGCGGCAATCTCTCTTCGCTTCTTCTCCGCGAGGGTGACAAATGGTGTCCTTGGAGACACAACGTCTTGGAAATCATTAACGGTCGAGCTTGGTTGCCCATTAGAATACCCATTGGACGTGTCTTCTTGGCCAAAGACCTTGCTACTCAACTGCTCCGGTACGGATGCCTGCTGCGCCCACGGGTCTGATGTAGACCCTGTTTGAATCACAGAAAGACTCTGTGATGTTTTGTGTCTGGTCTCTGGGGAGCCGTCTCTTTTAGAAGTTGTTCCTTTCTCGACGCGGCGTCGACTGGCACTTCGGTGGCGAGATCGCAGTCTTTTTTGGTTACCCTCGACAAGTCTTAAAGGATTATCGATATCTTGAGATGGTTCCTCTGTAGGATATGCCATAGGAAGAGGCGATGATGGTGATCGAGCGCTGGATCCTTGTCGGTCATTGCTGCGGCCTCGGATTGAGGCGTCTCGTTTATCCATACCGACACGGCTTGCGGTGTGTCGGCTTGAAGAGCGCTGACGGTTCCGAGAACCTGGCCCTCTTACCTTGCTAGTACTTCTAGTGCGAGACTTCGACTTCCGTGTTTCAACTGGCTTTTCGGACTCTGCGGTGTGGTATCGTGCCAGCTCATCAGGAGACATAGGCACCGGCGAGGAAGGAGAGCGCTTGGCGGGCTGGATGTATCGACGCTCGCTCATACCGCGGGCATCTCGAGAGGTATCACGCGGTTGATTGACCCTTGAGCTCTGGCTGGCAGTGTCATCTGGGTTCCGTCTTCCACGGCCCGGGGTATGTGGACGGAACTTCCGCGCATGATAGTTCGCTTCATCCAGACTACTGATGTATTGATCAATGCTACGGCCACTGACACTTGGACTCCTAGCCGAAGCGTAGCTATTCGCTGTCGATGCAGTGCTTTTGGCGCTGGGAATCAAATCGGAGCGGTCCTGCGGGTTTCTTTCACTTTCCAATGTCTCGATTTGAAGGCCGTCTGGTTTCCGATCTCGGGACCCGTTACGATGATCATCATTTGTGAGAGCCTCAAATACACCGGCAGCTGGTGATGGAAGTCCCTTAATTGCGGCAAACTTGTCTGTCCCTTGGACAGCAGTCTGGGGACTGGGCTTGAGAGAGTCTAGACTGGGGTTGTATTTTGTGGCTGACAAAGTGAGCAGACCGTTATTGCTCTCCTTCTCATCTTGGCTCTGCTCGTGTCCGCTCATTTCATTTTCGGAGGTGGAGCTATACTCATTCTGGCTGTAAGAATTCGACCGTGAGAAGCTTGGAGGGTGCACATCCACTGGTGTCTCTCCTATCGATGGTAGACGACGCCGGTTAAAAGAAGGAGTGTTTGTTCGAGAAGTCATTGCGTGGCTCAGGCTTTGGATATTGTTCAGTTTATAAGAGCCAAATCCACCAGGGGACATTGCCGACTCAGGAACAGCAGATTCAGCAATCGGAGTGATTCCAGGTGCATTTGTTGGCGTGCGATCATCAGACTTTAAGCCAGGGAAGCGGAACCGTCCTGGCTGTGCGTCAAAGGAAGTAATGAGCTTCAGGGCTGGCGTTTTCAATGTAGGTTTCGAGTTGGATGTAGACCTTGGTCGGACAGGTGGTGGCATATTGGCTTGAGAGGGCTCGGGCGAAGCGAGAGGAGATTTGGCGCGAATCATTTCTGCAAAAGATGAAGTTTGTTGGGCAGATGGAGATGCCCACGGCTCTGATGGTTCCACTCCCGTGCACATGAAACAGCGAATGGCGAGTTGTTGCTGGGAGTGAGTAACGACATGTTCTCCCCATCGACGAACGAGATATGACTGGCGCTGCCAGTCTGACGGGAACAGGAGACATGTCATGAGGATAGCTTCCATAAAGTGGTTGCGAGAAACATAAACCTCGATGGCATCATTGCTGTCCCCGAGACCAAGCAAGATCGAGGCCGCGGAGTGTATGTCCCCGATCTCAAGTAGCTTCTGTACAAATGCTTGTCCGACCTTGTTTGCCTGCGCTTGGCCGCTCATCTGACTCAAAGCAAGAATCATCCAGTCGGAAGTTGTTGCCTGCCCAGAACTAATCATCGAGGCCATTTCATCTGTGTTGGTCTCACCAAGCCATTGCGTTAATAGAATAGCGCTTTGACTACCCACAGCATGGCGGCTCACTAAGAATTGTCAAAAGATGCCTCCACGATAGAAGAAATGGGGTGATACATACACTCATCTGTAATAAGATCTTGGATGTCTCCATCCCAGCCAAAAACCACGCTCAACATCTGCAGACGAAGATCATCCGCAGTTAGATCCGTCTCATCGATAGGCGGCGGCTGTTTGTAAGGTACATCGATCAAGCGAGCCCGGGTGAATGGGAATAGATCCACAATGTTCTTGTCAGCAGGGCTGAGATGAACTTCATTCCGCAATCGTGATGCCGCTCTCGAACTTCTCACGGATGACATTGAGACCGAAGATGGATACGCAAATGAAGCAGAAGCCTGCGGTGTATCATGGCCACCCGACGTCATCGAAAATGTCGTAGCACTTTGACCAGAGCGACTTGGCGGGGAGAAAGGCCTCATATTATACTTCCCAGAGGATGCCTTTGAGCTCACCGATTCCGTCCGACTGCGCGATGAAGCAGGGCTCGTCAGATCCGCCCTCTGTCTGAGACTCTCCATGCCGTTTGCGTCAAATGGCGTTCGTCTGGCCGGGCCTGGTGGTTCTCGGATATCAGGAGCGTCTTGCAAGCGTCGTGGGGACATTGTTTGTGATCGACTACCTTCCGCGGTGCCAGGCCGGGGGATTGGAAGATGTTGCACATTTTTAACCATTGCCGGGTTTTCCAAATCATACTGCTGGACTGAGTGCTTGGGGCCGATGGTGAATAGCGTCGCAGTAGGACCATAGTTTGCGATGCCTCGCACACCGTCGATGGTGGGGATTGGATCGTAGGTAACATGTTTCGTTCGAACATCCCAAGACCATGTTTCTCTATGATCAAATGTCAGTAAAATTCTAGTTATCCTCCCGAAGGATTGCGCACCCTTCCAAATATTGCACCAGTCTTCCATTCTTCGACCAGCCCATCCATTTAGGATCGGATGAGTTTGAGTCAGATCGTTTCAATACCCTAATCACTCGAGGCGACTCTTTCCCTGGTGGTTTTGCCACGCTCCAAACTCGTAGATCACCATTCGATGACTGGGTTGCCAGCATGTCTGACTTCTGTTTCGATGAGGATGCATGCCAAGCTAAGGAGATAATTGGCGATGGTCCA